GAGGAAGTGGAAAGTCGTAAAGAAGAATGAAGAGTAGAATCATCAGCGTAAGAATGGATAGAATTATTGTGTGTGATAAATCACGAGGCATGAAGAGAGTATTTGGAACTTTGAACAGAACTCCTTGTGGACACTACTATTGGTGTAAGAAAGAGCGAGAGATCGGATCCCCGAACAACAACTGCTATGGATCAAATTCTCGCGAAGCTAGAGATGAGAAGGAAGTGGGGAGAAACGCGAGGAAGTTTAGATAGAAAGACCAAAAATATATACCCTGGCAAATGCCTGGAGATTTCTTGAGGCCATTGACGAAAAAGCCTCATGATCCCTAAGAGAGTGCCAGACCAAAAAGATGGCATAGGAGAGCAGATCACCAGTAGATCTGCCTGGTGATCCGACAAAAGAGAAAAGGCACCAAGGTGAAGACGGAGAAAATAGGAGTTCAAGATAATTCTGAAAATCTCAGAGGAGGATGAAGTTAGAGCATCAGCGATATTAGGAAGACAGAATGGTCACCCTTCTTCGGGATGGGCTGAAGCCAAGGCATGCTTCCAAGAAGAAGGAAAAGCTTGGGTTTTGAGGCAGACATTAAAGGAGGCGAGCAAGGGGCCATGGCTTCAGCACACTCCCTGAGAACACGAAAGGGGTATTCCGTCCGGGTCCATGCGTGCCTTTACTCACATCCAACCCGGATAACACACCAAACTCTGAGGAAAGATATTGGAAAGTGCATAGGTTCAGTAGATATAGGTGCAGAGGATAGAGTGGAATTGTCTAAGGTGGAACTAGAGGAGAGACTCAAGGTGCCAAAGAGGTTAATGTAGAGCGGCCATAGAGTTACTGGCCTATATGTTCAGCTAACGTAAGGTGAAATTGTTACAGATAAGCTGGTTAAGGACCAGAAGGACGCACAGAGGAAAATTATCAGGACCGTGGCTCTTTTAATAAAAATTCTGCTGGCCTCATGAAGAATAAAGGCCCACAAACGATTCCCAGAAATACCAGCAGGATGGGTAATAGAGAATGATATAGTCTTACAGCTTCAGAGAGTGCCCTATTTCACCCGCAAGCAAGAGAGCAGGAGCGATCAAACCATGATTAAATGTGAAAGTTTTGGTAGAAGATGGGATAAATGACCTCATACTGCCCTGTATAAAACCAGCACGTTGCCAAAGACATACGAGGCGTCCTGAGGAAAAGCAAATATTCATCCCAAGGAAAGTCGGTGAAGAATTTCGCAAGGATGCCGCCGCTCGAGGAAAAGCTATAGCACGCTTAGAGAGGTGGTGGGGAGGTGGTCGTGCCCAGCTTGATTTAATAGAAATAAGGTTGTGACTAAATATCCTTAAGGCAGAAATTGAGTATGAATAGTGTAAGGGTTAGAGGTAAAAACAAAGATCAAGAACAGTTAGCAAGTTGATCGTGTCGATCAGAACGCGTTTATGGTGTTTCATTATTTGGTTCCAAATCATAAAGTAGGGAAAAGAGAGTGCCTCAGGCTCCACTTTGGGCCATCCTTGCAGAGCCGCCAAGCCACCATCTGTGATGTACATTGAAATCCCCTAGGTAGAGGATATGTTGGTGTTGGGGTGTCTGGATAGCACAAACACTCATGGCAAGAAGTGAGATAGTCAAAGTGTTTTAAATAGTTGGTAGATAGAGAACAGTATAGGAAACAAATAAAAAATATCATAGTAGGTAGAGATATTTTGAGCCAGATGACATCATAAAGGTAAGATTCAAGATACAGGAGTTTGGTTATAGGTGGTTACAAAGCTGTTGTAGG